ACCGTGTAGTTCTTCTCTGCCGGGTTCAGCGCCCGGCTGGCAAATGCCACCGGGCGGATCTCTCCCTCGGTCTCCTGCAAGAGCACCGCGCCGAGTCCCTGGTCGCTGGCGTCCGTCTGGATCGTGAAGGGCCTATTCAGGTCTGGCAGTTTGAGGGATGCTGTACGCGCCAAGGCCTCGGTCAGCTGGAGGAACGCCTCCTCCTGCGGCGCCTCCCAGCTCCAGGGAGCCGCTTTCCTCAGCAATTGCGTGAGGGGTGCCTGCATGGCTGCGCAGTTCGGGATGTAGGCTCGGTAGTATCCTATCATGCCGAGAAAACGGCGCACTCCCCCGACATCGGTAGGGACTGGGAACTCCAAGATCGCCCGCAACTTGTCCGCGTCGGGGGAAACTTTTCCTCTCTCGATCCGGAATCCCAACAAGCTGATCTCAGAAGCTCCAATTTGGGCTTTAGTCGGGTTAAGTGTGAGGCCGGCCATCCGCAGTTTGCGCAACACGTCCTCGAGGTGACGAAGGTGGTCCTCGAAAGTTTCCGAGTACACAATGATGTCGTCCAGGTACGCGAGCGCGTGCTGCCACTTGGCATCTCCGAGCACCCCGTCGATCAACCGCTGAAATGTCATCGGTGCACCTGTTAATCCGAACGGCATCCGAGTGAACTCGAACAAGCCTCGGTGACACACGAATGCAGTTTTGCTTTCGTCGCCCGGGCTCATCTCCACTTGGAGGTAGCCTTTGCTTGCGTCGAGGGTAGTGAAATACTTCGCCTTCCCCAGATTCGAGATGATTTCTTCGATGCTCGGAAATGGATACGCATCTTTTACGGTCACCGCGTTCAAGCGCCGATAATCGACGCAGAGTCTCGATGTTCCGTTCTTCTTGGGCACCAAAACCACCGGGAATCCCCAGGGGCCTGATGACCGGCGAATGATTCCCGACTTCAGGAGCTCATCGACTGCGGCATCTATCGCTTTTCGCTTCGCCAGGCTCACAGGACGCGGATTGGACTTCCAAGGGCGTGCGTCCCCAGTTTCAATGCGATGTTGCACCTGCTTAGTGCAGCCCGGCTGTTCGGTGAACATTTCGTCAAAGTTGTGCAGCAAAGCCGCCAACCTCTCTCGCTCTGGTCGAGACAGTCCATCGGCATTGGCCAACGGGTGGCCCATTCCGTCGCAGTGCTCGGCGGAGCTCGGAGTTGGGTGACTCATGGCGTCGTCGCGGTCGGTTCTTTCCTGTTCTGTCGCTTTTCCCAGCGCTGCCGCCATGGCCCCCATGGAGTGCTCTCGGAAACTTGAAAGGGGTGCATGTGCCCCCTCTCGGTACCCGCCACTTGCCACGTCAATGATGATGCCGGTGTGGGCCAGGAAATCCCGTCCCAGAATGATGGGCACTGTCAGCCCGGCCAAATGGACGAACCGCTGTCTCTGCGCCCGTTGATTCCAACGTACCACGAGACGCACTGCTCCCCTCGAGGTCGTCGACCCACAAGCCAACTGGAAAGTGGTCTCCCCATGCCTCACCCGAACGGACTTCTGTTGGAGATGCCTGAGGACCTCGTCCCCAATTAGCGACGCACTAGCCCCGCTATCCAGAAGAGCTGCGAACTCCTTTCCCGCCACCGTCAGGGAAATAAATGGGGCCGCGGTGCTTGTCACTGTTCCGACTCGATACGCCGTCGGCACGCACACAGTCGATGGGGTGTCGGGGACCCGCTCGTTGGTCTGTTTCGCCGCCGATAACTTTATCGGCGGCCTCCTCCGTTTCCCGGTATCTCCCTTGTGCAGTCGCGCCTATAGTGCCCGATTTCGTGGCACCGAAAGCAGCGGCCTCGCCAACCTGGGATAGGACTCTCCCCAGTGGGACGTGCGATGCGCTCACCCCTTTGTGGCAGCGGGTCGGCGGCAGACTGCTCCTGGGCTGCGGCGATCCGTGGTGCGCCGGTCGGCCGGAATTCCGCCGCGTGGACGGCCGCGCTCCCTCCTCGGCGTGATCCTGGCTCCAAGGCGTCATCTGTGAGCTCCCAGGGATTCCCGCTCGGCTCCCCGCTGGCCGCCGCCATTGCGGCTTCCCCCCGTCGACACCCACGTGGCACCGGCCCGTGCCACGCGCATCGGGGTTCGAGCGTGTCGATTGGTGCTGGGGGAAGGTGGTACCTGCGCTCCGCCAGTATGTCGGCCTGAACCTTGCGTGCCTCCTGTGCGAGCTCACTCAGACTTCCGAATGGGCGCCCACGCAGGTACCGCGAAAAGGTGGGATGCGCCTGCCTCACCACCCGCTCGACCTGCTCCTGGTTCGTAGCATTCGGATCGGCGATCTGCAGGAGTTCCTGCATTGCCCGCAGGTACTCAGCAAAGGGCTCAGCGGGAGCCTGCGTTCTTTCATCCAGTTCCCTGCGCATTCTTGGCAGGTAGTCTGCCGGCAAGAACTCTTGTCGGAAGAGGGCCGTGAACTCGTCGAGAGTTCCGGCTGACTCGCCCACAAGGCGATGCCACCTGGCTGCTGGGCCTACAAGAGCCACCGGCAGAACTCTGCCTAGCGTCTCCTTCTCTGTCAGGCCGGTAGCCTTCCGATATCGCTGGATTTCCAGCAAGAAGTCGGTCGCGCTCAGAGCTCGATCGCTGTGTCCGCTGTACTCCGGCACCGGAATGCGGATGAGGGTTTTTGGCGACGGCGTTTCCCTCTGCATGCTCTGTAAGGCCTGAGCGAACGCCGCAACCAACGCCGTGGATTCACGGGACATCTCCGTGCTCTGCGGCATAGACACTACTGGCGATACCGTCGGCGTTTCCGGACTCAGCCCTACGGTCATCTCCGCGGCGTTCCCCTCCGCCAACCCCGAGAGCCGTCGCTCTTTTTCCGCTTGTGTCGTCGCGACGTCCGCCAAAAACATTAAATCTGTTAGCGCGAAATTACCCGCGGCCATCCCGAACACTTGTTTGGACGTGCTCTTTCCACCTTCACAGTGCCGCGGTATAGACCCGCCAACCAGGGGGACCGCCCCGCGTGAACTTTCACGCAGTGTCGTCGACGGACGTTGCGACCGTAATTACGGCTCGCCAGCCCCAACGTTGATGCGCCATTTGTAGGAATTTGCGTACCGACGCCGATTCGCCGTTTCCCACGTGGTCCGTCAACAACCCGAGTCCAGCCTGGTTCTTTCACGGGAGCGGGATTCCGCTCCCAGTTTATTCGTACAACAAAACACAACGCTACAAAACACTTAATCTAAACTACAAATACACGCGACATTATACAAATATTTACAAACGCACGTTAAGACCAACGCTAAACACAAAGTAGGCCCTTAGGCCTCGCGTCCCGCGATATCCAGATCCGGTCGCCACCCACTTGCCTGCCAGTGCCTGCGTCTCGGTCGCGTCCGGAGTTCTTAGAGGCCTCTTGCCCCTAGAGCACTATATAGCTCCTACGGAGCAGAGTAGCGCAATCCTTTGAACTCCGTGTTTTGCCGACAACATGGCCGACAGAGCGGCTCGGCGCGAGTCACGTGGTACTCAGGGTTCCAGGAGGCGGCCCGCCCTATGGGAGAATACATGGAGATCGATACAACACGGCTGATTAAAAAATGAACGGCGAGTTCACACTTTTCAAAACTAGCCTGTCGTGAAGTTAGTAAAGCACTAAACACTTTATCAAAGTTTTAATAATATCGGATGCATGTGCAAATTTTGAGAAGGCAATTTCCAAGGCAATGGCGTTTGAAGCAGACGATTTTTGCTCGCAGCGGAGATGGGCTTTTCGGGTTGGCCAGAGCGGGTCACGTGAATGGTGTGACGTCGCCGTGTCGTCTGCTGCATGATGCCGCTCAAGCAATTTTTAAAAAAAAGTCAGGTCCTTTCGGGGCACAAAACTTAGCGCAAATTATTCTAAAATGTTCCATTATTATGTCAAAAACGATTGCCATTCCGTACATTCCCACATTACTGAAGAAACAACGATTTTCTCACGTTCTCCATGCATTTCTGACCGCAGTTGGAACCTCCGGGCGTTCGCCGCTAGTCGCCGAGAGGCGGCGTTCTAGATTGCGCTACTCTGCTCCGAAGGAGCTATATAGTGCTCTACTTGCCCCCTGCCCCACCGAGTATATATCTATCGATGGGCGAGGAGGTTTCTCCTCGCCTGCCACGGGGGCGCCTGCAGCGCCCTCCAGTGGCTAGGAGAGAAAGCGGCGCGTCGGGAGCCGAATTCGAGATCCCGATCGACCCCGCGGCAACACGACCATGTGATCGTGTCGCGGCCAAGATTGGCCGAATGGTTTGATGGGCGCCCTCGTGAATTCACGGTGCGCCATAGGGAGTGGCATTGGCAAAAAAAATTTGGAGTTTATCGGATAAATCTGAAGTGACCAAAATTATACCGGCGGGTGGCTTTCGGAGTTTTTCGGATATATCTAAGAACACGGAACCTAGTGCTATATCCTTGGTTGAATTAAGTGCATCGGGCGCACCCTGCACCTCCTAATTGGTGGCCGGTCCTGAATGATTCGGTTCCCCTGAAGATATTTTAATGTAACCACGTCGAAAAAGAGTTAAATTGACGTGTTTTAGCGTTTTCTCTATTTGTTTCGTGCACCAAATGCTAAAAAAAACGAAAAAATTAAAAAAAAAGAAGAACGAGCGCTATTTTATGTTTGAACTTTTTAGCGCGTCAAACGGTCGTGTTCAGAGTATCCGGCTCGCGTCCAGCCGGACAACCACTTTTTGATTCAGCGTCTCCACCACGAGTCTGGGACCGCGACAGGCCCATGCCGGGATGCAGCCTAGTGTATGTCTAAACCGCGTCCTTGACCGTCCCTGGCCAGGCACCGACAGGTACCGCGGCGTGACCTGATTATGAACCAAAAGGTCGGGTTGACTCCTTTGTGTAAATTTTCCACCTTACTGCAGAAAACAATCGAGAGCAGAGATACAGGAATCCATTCCATTGTTGAGGGGTCTTTCCCCGTCCGATATCGTTATCGCAGGGAGATAACTACTCGCTCTAACTCGGCCACGTGATCCGTCGTCGCGACAGGTAACCTCTTAAAGCGCTGACTATTGTTCGGGCGTTTCAGACGACTAGTCGCCAGCACGATGGCTTTCTTCAAGGCTGCCGTATTCCTTGTTTGTGTGGTCCTCGCAGCGGCCGGGTCCGCGAGCAAATCGAAGAGGGCCCTGGTCGGAGGCTGGAAGACGCAGGACCCAACCAACCCCAAGTTCGAGAACCTGGCGCACTACGCAGTGTCAACCCAAGTCGAAGGTCGAGAGTACTACGACACGGTCCTCGAGCTCTTGGAGGTGCAGACTCAGGTGAGAAATCTCTATGATTTTTGAGCGCTAAAAGAGATCACGCAGTGGATGTACCTTGTCTCCCGCGTTCGAGCTGCCTCTTGGCGACCGCATGAAGTCACGTGTTCCGAAGCAACCATTGCCTCTTGGACTATGCTTTCGCTGCTTTGCTACGGTTGACATCTGTGTTATATCTTTTGCAAGCTCGATTAAGCGGAGGATTGGCCGACAAGGGATTATCGGGGCTCTCCGGTCAGGCGTGTCACGGCGCAGATCCGTTACTAAAACTCTAAACCTCTTTTCCGTTTCATCATCCACCCAGATTGCAGCGGTGAACTCTATTAAATGCCCTGTGGCAGATAAAGACACCGGATTTCATTGAGTGTATATGATTAACCCTTTGGCAAGCCTGATAATGTGTAAATCCTATGAGCTCACGCCTGGCTCACCTTTTGGGACTTTCTTTCTGTACCGCAACTTTAAGCTCAACTTTCACGTCGGCGCAAAGTAACGCAAAGACCGCAAAGTGTAGCATGAAAACAGTTTCGTTATTTTTATTGTCAAGTAAAGGTCTCGTCAACCCTTAACGACCTTAGTTATCTTGCGAACACGTGGAGAGACACAGAGCTCAGTATCGTCTTTTCTTAACGCGCATCTGTCTTTACTCGATATCCATGCAATATTGTTTGTTATTCCATCGAGCAGATTGTGGCCGGCGTGAACTACAAGTTGAAGTTCACAACGACTCAATCGACGTGCAAGATCGAAAACGGCGTGGAATACTCCAAGGAGCTTTGCCAGCCCAAGACAAACAAGGTTTGTGCTTGCTTTGCGTGGCGTCGTTGCCAACCGCGCCGCGGGTATTTGCCACCATATTAGATCATTCTTGCTACAGCTGCGGGGGAGAACCATGATAGTTGTCTTCTTAATAAAACGCAAAATTATGCTAATCAGTTCATTTATTTTATTTTATTTTAATTTAGTTTATGTACGTTTCCAAGCTGATAATTTATTATTTCATATTGTTTATCAGTAAGCTGCTTTTAGCGTCAATCGAAATGCATTATTGTGAGAATATATATTTCGCTATTGAGACTAGTGATACAGATTTATATTGTTTCTTTATTTTTCATCCGCATAATTTATCTCGCAATGATTACATTGACATGTTTTTTTAATGCAAAAAGAGATGAACAAGGGGACATGGAAAGGCGATAGTCCTTTTCTTTGTGTTCGCCTACTATCATGCCTTGTTAACATGAACCGTTCCCCCAAAAGTCGCCCATATTGTGTCCATCATACTGAGACAAAACTGCACGTATTTCTCCAGTTCCTCCCCAGAAGGTTTGTTCATATAAATGGTTGTCTATCTTAACCGGAACCGTATTAACAAAACATGAGAAGCTTTTTTTTTATTTTTAGCATTATGCACTGACTAGCTATAAACAAGTTTTGTTAAATTGCATAGGTCGGTGGCGTCAGACAGGAGCCAACAGAAGCTAATTTAACTAAACGCAACTGAACGCCAGTGCAGCGATAGTGTTCAATTGTGTGCTTCAAAGGCGTTTCAGCGATACTGCAGTTTTCTCACTATGTTGGTACGAATGCGTTACCCATTTTTTTCGATTTTGGTTCGTCGGGAGTCTTTTCAAACACATTGCTACGAGTCGTTCGTTAGCAATTGGACGATTCCCCGCGAAGCGGAGCGTAACTTTCGTTACACAGCAGGTTTTAATCCTACCTGGCGCCATCACGCGAAAGTTACACAAGCTTTGCTTACCGGCGTCAATGTGCTGCGTCTATCTTGAGTTGACAGGCAGAGCGAAACTTATGTATGTATTGGCGGCTCTGCATGGGGACAAGAGTCAGCTCCTGATGCAAGTAGCGCTGAGCCATATTTTCATTCTCCCCTCACAACTCGCCGGCTGTTTCTACAACAGACAGTCCTTGCTGACATGGTCAAGGGAAGGCGAATTATATCGTAAAGTATTAAAGTGTTATTGACGTCTCTACTTTCTGGTTCAACTTTTGCACGAAGTGATGAGTGTAATTTTTTGAACCGTTACCTTTATTTCAGTGCCGATTATCATCGATGCACTCACCTCATCATCTTCTGACTTGCTCTTTGTATGAATCTTTGCAGGTTGAAGCTGTATGCACAGCAGTCATCTACACAGTTCCATGGCAGAACATCAAACGGGTTTTGTCCTACAACTGCGAAGCTCCCAATGACGTCTAGGTCGCTTGACGTCAGCCGCACGTTAAATGACATGAAAGGATGCATGGAGGCTATAAATGCTGGGTGTTTCAGCAATAAAAAAAATGAAAGACGTTTACAATTCTCTGTGATGCCAAATTAGAGCGCAGCTCTTGAGGAGGAGGAGGGCAATGTACGCAGAGGAGGGTATGACCCTCCTTTTAATCCGTTCCCTCCCCTCCTCCTCTTCTGCTCACCTCCTATTTAGGGGAAAATTTCTCGCTAAATTTAGCATGAAATATTTTCCGCGAAATTTAGCGGGGAAATTTTTCTGCTAAATTCAGCGGGGAAAAATTTCCGCAGAATTTAGCGGGGAGTTTTCCGCTAGATTTAGCGGGGAAATTTACCCATAATGCGACGCACGGTGACCCTCTTGACGTCACAAGTGATATCATCTATGACGTTACTGGTGACCCTCGTGACTTCACGTGTGATGTAATCATGGGAAACGTCCCATAATGCACCGCGCGGTTACGCCAACGGCGACGTTCACGGCGACGCCGCTCAAGCCGGAAACGGGTGCCTAAGAGTTGCGCTCTAAAACAACGTTTTAATAATTCGCTTTCAAGATCCTCTTATTGTATATGGCATCTAGACACGCTCATTACAGTAACTCTTCTTGCATCAATTAATACGTTGAAAATCCTCACTGCTATCATCTTCCAGTCCTCATGCAGTAACAGTGAAAGCAGGGTGAACGCAAATGTGTATTCCGGACCACTACCAAAGAGGCAAATTCGAACAAGTCTAGAACGTGTCTCGAGGCGGTTTCTAAAGGCTAAGTAAACAATAAATGCACAAAACTTGTGTATTTGGTTCTAGCTGCTTAGTCTTGACACACCTGTATCATGGGCGAAACGGCAAATGGTTCCTATTTTTTTTTTTTTGGGGGGGGGGGGGGGGGGGAGGTGGATGTTTGAATCAAGTGAGCATTTAGGTTTACAAAGCTTGACATACCCTGTCGTTGTTGAGTTTCCCTGCAGTCTATTGGCTGCATTGCGCAAATAGATTAAAAATGTATAACCCACAATCAAACCATTCGTTTTATTATATTCGTCTTTTACTAACCAATACTTTCTTCATTGTGTTGGTGTACGCACTAAATTGTTTTATATCCTCAAGTACGTAAAAAAAGTGTTCCAGAATTTTGCGCATGTGACGACATCTTTTCTGCACCCCTATTCAAAGGCATGCACTCTTTGAAGTGGCAAGGTAAGGCGCTGTGGCATGGATCACCGTTCATTTTTTCCACAGTGTAAAAGTTTGAAAAAGGCAGACATCCAGCGTAATGCGGCGAGGCGATAATATATCCGCCATCTTTCGTTGAGGTTGTTTTGGTGGCTATGCCAAATTATTATTTCCCGCGACAATGTGTTTTACTAAACGATACTTTAATCTCGAGAAATTACCGATGAGTAAGCACCCTTCAGTTTTTTTTTAATAATAATAATAATAATAAATCCTTTATTGCACAGTCTTTTGTACAGTGAAATCGATGGCCCACTTAAGCGCGCAAGCGCTTGTGTGCGGGACCATGGCAACCCAGCAACGCACTCAAACAGTGCATACATCTCGCTCAAAACAAAAGTAAATGATGGCAGTCACATCTTGCTCAAAACAAGTGTACAGAATGTTAAAATTGTGGTGACGAGTCCGCTGGGAAAATAGATAATACATGAAAATTGATAACATTTATAATTCAAACCGACAACACCATTCCTTGAGCTTCTGTTTGGCTACTTTTAAAGATGGCAAGTCGCATAAATCTTGAGGAAGTTTATTAAAGTAGGAGGGAACATAGTATTTTCTTAAACGTCGTCCGTAATTTGTGTATACCATAGGGATAGAAAAGGTTTCCGAATGTCTTAGGGTCTTTTGTCTGGTGACTCTGTGCTTGTAATTATTATTATAATAATATTTTATTAGAACAACAAATTCCATTAATTCCTCTATTTGTAGTATTTGGAGGGAGGCCAATTTTTCTGCTTTATCAAGGTTTTCATATTTCGAACCATAGGCAATGCTAGTTGCAATTTTATAAATTAGTTTATTTAATTTTTGTTTTCGGTGGGAAGAACAGGAGCCATACACAGTGATTCCATACCGCAAGAGAGAGCAACCGAGCGCTTCGTAAACTTTTTTCCTGATGTTAATATCACACAAATTTCTTAATTTATACATATACGCCAAAACCAATCGTAGGCGTTTTACTAAATTTTCAATGTGGCTATTCCATGTTAAGTTTACATCAAAAGTTAGTCCTAAATATTTTGTTTCTTGAACATAAGTTAATGGAGAGAAATTACAAGAACCACAGTCGCTTGAATGTAAAAAGATAGGATGTATAACGTTTACTCTTTTTTGATGTGCCCGGAAGCACATCAGGTTGGTTTTGGTTTTATTCACAAATATTGTATTCCATGAAAACCAGTCTGCTAAACTATTTATATCACTTTGAAATATGGGAACAGCGTCATCGTAGTTTTTGTGTGCTAATACAATCGCAGTGTCGTCCGCGTATTGAAATAGCTTAGACTTGAGGAGTATTTTGTCTAACTCATTTATGTAAATATTGAATAGTATGGGACCTAAAACCGACCCCTGAGGCACACCAGAGGTAACGAGCAAAGGTTCACTAAAACTGCGTCCTATCCGTACTCGTTGTGCCCTGTTGTGCAAGTAATTCTTAAAAAACTGAAGAAAGGGACCTCTAAAGCCCATGTTTTCTAATTTACTTAATAACAACTCGTGATCAATTGTATCAAACGCCTTTTTTAAATCTAAAAAAAGCGCTAAGATGATATAATTATTTTCTATTTTTTCGTTAATATAGTCAGTAAAATCTTCTAGTAGAAGAGTTGTACTTTTTTGCAGTCGGAATCCATACTGACATGTATTCAATAGGGAAAAGTTTTCACAAAATGATTGCATAATTTTGACTATATACTTTTCTATAATCTGTGACAGAGCTGGTAAAATAGCTATGGGTCTGTAGTTGGACATCACCTTTTGATTACCCTTTTTGTATACTGGACGGACTAGTGCCACCTTAAACATTTCTGGAATTCTCCCTGTTTCTAAAATACCGTTTATTATGGCAAGCAGAATACTTTTTAGTTTCTCAAAGTTATAGAATATATCTCTTACTCTAATTCGATCGCATCCCTCTGGCTTAGTGAGTGGCATTTTTTTTTATTATATCACTGAGGTCTTGCTCAGTCATGGGCGGCAAGTAGGCAGAGTTTGGTGAACTAGAGACACTATACGGAGCACGTGTAGTTTTCGGTGCTTGGTTTCGCAGATCCTGTATTTCCTTCACAAAGCTGTGATTAAACTTATTGCTTAAAAGGTCAAAGTCTGTTCCAAAACGCTTCCGTATGACCTCATCAACGCTGTCTTTTGAGGTTTTCCCAATGATTTTGTTCACTATGTCCCACGTTTTTTTTACATTTCCCTTTGACTGCTGGAACTGGTTATTGTGGTATTTCCTCTTCGCTAGCCGTATTTTTGCAGTTACTTTATTTCTGATTTCCCTAAACTCCCTGCGTAATTGGGTATCGTCAGGGTTTTGTTTGCAACGACTCCACAATCTATCTTTTGCGTAACACAATTCTAGTATTTCTTTATTTATCCAGTTATTTGCTGGTTTCCGTTGCCTTAATTTTATTTTCCTTTTGGAATCACCGTATATGCGTCCAAATCTATCCACCATCAGTTCATATATTGCAACATGGTCATGTTCGAGTAATGAGTCCCAGTCATATTCACGAATAAGGCGGTCTATAATTTTTGAATCCAAGACATATCTAAAACCATCTCCATCACTATTGTATATGGTATCGGTACTCAACACTTTTATGGTTATGAAATAATGATCAGCGACTTTCTGTTTTATAACCCCAGATATCGTTGTCAGATCACTAATTCTGACAATAGCATGATCTATACAGGTTCTAGTTACTTTGTTTCCTAAGTACTCTTCTCTGGTGTAGTCACGAATCACATTCTGTAAACCATAACTGGACAATAGATCAATATAGTCTCCAACTTTGTACTTGTTGCGGTTCATAACGTCAATGTTCAGATCACCTGTGATTATTACTTGGTCATTGTTGTTATATCTTTTTAGTAAATTTTCGAACTCGTTGTAAAACAAATTCACATCCGCACTGGGTGGTCTGTATATGGCCACAACAAGAAACGAAAACTCATTTTTGCTCACAAACATAACTATAGTCTCAGCGTGGTCTAATGATACATCAACTTTTTCTGCTATCCAATCCTTTTTTATATAAATAAGTATCCCTCCTCCTTTTCCATTTTCTCTGCCTGCCGATACCGAGTGGAAACCCGGCAACTGATAAACTTTTTCATCTGCTGTTTTTATATGAGTTTCAGTTATAACTAAAATATCAAGACCGTTAAATCTGCTTTCCAGGTACACATTAAGTTGATCCCAGTTTTTTTTAATGCTCCTTACGTTAATGTGAATTATGTTTAGTACTTCTTTAGTTTTTTCTTCTCTCATCACACGCCTGGCGTACTCGTCCCAGTGAACAAAACTGTTAAAAGAACCTATGTCACTGATATCTTCACTCATTTATCTCAATTTGTTCAGATCTGCTTCACTTTCAATCCGGATCACCGCAGCGCCTTCTTTTTGTCTGACCAAGATCTGCCCATTCTTCACCCAGATAAACTTATATTCCTTATCTCTGGCCTTGTTCTTTGTAACCCATAAGAGGTTCTTCGTAGTCGCCGTTAGATTTTCGTTTACGTATACACCGTCTCTTTTTAATGCCACTCGTCTTTTGATCCATAGGTCTCGTGTGTTCCTTTCCGTGAATCTTACGAGTATCGGAGCCACTCTTCCTTCTCGCGTTCTTAATCTGTGAACAGCCTCCACTGAATGTTCTGTTATTGGTGGCAGTTCTAGTTTTTCTGAGAGACTCTTCACTAAATCCAGTACATTCTCGTTTTCTGATTGTCTTACTCCATGAATCTCAATGTTCTTGCGCCTGGAGTATTGCTCAGTTCTGTTAATAACAACCTTCAAGTTAGTAATCTCGCAGGTTTGTT